AAGCTCTGAGAAGTAGGATTTGGGGTGATTTTCTTTTTTCTATGTATTATTCTGAGCATCAGATGTTACTTTGGTTATAAGGGAAAAGAAATAAGGCAGTGAAAGTTATTTACAGAGAAAAAAGAGCTACCTGGACTTCTTCAATACATACATGACTAGATAAATGCAGTCGCAAAGTTCCACGGCACTCACTGCATTTTAGAATCCCTTGGGGACCTTATAAAAGATACTGATGCCTTGGACCCAACCCAGATCAATTAAATTAGGATCTCTGAGGGTAGTACCCAAGCATTGTCATTTAAAAAAATTCCCTAGGTAGTTATACTGTGCAGCTGGGTTGAGAGTCACCTCTCTACACTACAGAACCCAACTGGAATAACTGAACCCGGGACAATGTTCCAAGCAGGCAAACTCTTTTCATTGGCCTATGAGGACCGTCCGTGACCTGGGCCCTGCTTTTCTCTCCAATCTCAGCTTATTCCAGTCTTCTTCATTCAGCCCCCAGAACAGCGGCTGGCACATAGTAGATTCTGAACTTAAAACAGAGTGGGACCGAATGAATCCATGGATATGGTTTTCTGACTGTACCACAGGAAAAAAAAAATCATCCCTGCTTAACAAACATAGTTTTCTATGAATTATTTACAAATTGTATTGATTGTTTTTTTGTATTGATTGGTTTTGATATCTCAGTAGACTCTTTGAGAAAAGATTGAGAATAGAAAGGGTGATAATTTTGGTTTTCCAATAGTTGATCTTAATTATTCTTTTATAATCGTTGGATATGAGGACCATTTATTTGTTAGGTCAATTTTTTAATGCATAACAAGAATGTGTATTCCCTGAGGATAGGATCTTCCTTTCTCACTGCTGTATCTCTTTGACGTAGGAAAATGCCTGGCTCATAGTAGGCATCCAATAAACAGTTGTTGAAATAATATTGCAGAAGTAAACAATAATGAAAGCATAGCATTAAGGTAGAGATGATAACGGCATAATATTCATGTAGGGGCAAGTACACGTCTTTCTATTCCTCCCATATGTTAGGATGTTTGTAGGGGTTGGGAGAAGGTGTGCCTACACTAATGCAAAAGTAGTGTCAAATCATTTAGACAATTGTTGAACAAAGAACTGGCTGAAAAGTTAAAAGCTCATACTGAAATATGGTTTTAGAATCTACCTTTTGGCATGTGATAGGATTAAACGGGGCACAGTTGGTACCAGTTTGGTCCCTACACTGCCACCAGAGTGGTCTTTTAAAAATGAAAGTCAGATCATGCTTCTCCTCTATTCAAAACTCTCCAGTGATCTTACCTCACACCATATACAAAAATTAATTTACAATAGATCAAAGACCTAAAAATAAGAGCTAAAACAATAAGACTTTTAGAAGACAACATAAGGGAAAAGCTTCACAACATTGGTTTGGCAATGGTATTTTGGATATAACACCAAAAGCACAGGGAGCAGAAGAAAAAAAAATAGAAAAACTGGACAGCATAAAAATTCAAGGCTTCAAAGGACACTAGAAAGACAGTGAAAAAAGGCAACTTACAGGGTGGGAGAAAACACTGTAAAATCATATGTTTGATAAGGTATTAATATCTAGATTATATAAAGGACTTTATAACTCAACAGTAAAAAACCTAACAACCCAATTTAAAAATAGGCAAAGGAGGGGATCCCTGGGTGGCTCAGCAGTTTAGCACCTGCCTTCGGCCCAGGGCGTGATCCTGGAGTCCTGGGATCAAGTCCCACATCGGGCTGCCTGCATGGAGCCTGTTTCTCCCTCTGCCTGTGTTTCTGCCTCTCTCTCTCTCTCTGTGCCTCTCATGAATAAATAAATAAAATCTTAAAAAAATAGGCAAAGGACTTGAATAGACATTTCTGTAATGAAGATACACAATGACCAATAAGCATATGGGAAGATGTTCAACATCGCTAATCATTAGGGAAATGCAAATCAAAACCACAAGATACCACCTCACACCCATTAGGATAGCTGTTATCAGAAAATCCGAAAATAACAGGTGTTGGTGAGGATGTGGAGATATTGAAACCCTTGTGCACTTTTGGTAGAGATGTAAAATGGTGCATGCAGGAAAACAGTATGGTGATCCCTCAAAAAAAATCAAACATAAAATTACCATATGATCCCAAATTTCCATTTCTGGGTATACAGTCAGAAATTGAAAACAAAGAGACTCAAAGAGAAATTTGCACAGCTCCGTTCATAGCAGCTTTATTCACAATGGCCAACAGGTGAAAGCAGCTCAAGTGTCCCTTGATAGTAGAATGGATAAAAAAACGTGGCATATCCATACAATGGAATATTATTCAGTCTTAGGAAGGAAGGAAAGTTTGACACAACACAGGTGAACCTTCAGAACATTATGCTAAATGAAATAAGCTGGTCACAAAAGGACAGATATGAGTCCACTTACATAAGGTGCCTAAGAGAGTCAAAATCATAAAGAAATCAGAAAGTAGAATAATAGTTGTCAGGGGTTCAGGAGATGAACAGTAAGAGGGAATGGGGAGTTGGTTAACGAGCACGGCATTTCCGTTTGTGACGATAAAAAAGTTCTAGAGCTGGACGGTTGCATGACAACGTGAAGGTACCTAATGCCATTGAACTGTGCACTTAACAATGGCTAAAATGATAAATTTTATGTTGTATGTATTTTACCGCAATAAAAACTCATCTTTACAACCACACTTGGAATTAATAATATTATTCTGTTACTGTCCCCATTGGACAGGTGACGCACCTGAGGCTCAGACTGGGTATATGATTTGCCCAAGGTTGCCTAGCTCGTGAGTCACAAACAAAAAACAAAACAAAACAGAACAAACCCTCCAGTGATGCCCCATTTCAGAATAAAGGCCAGACATCCTTAGCATGTCTTCTAAATGACCCTCCATAGTCTGGCCCACGTCGTGACCTCTCGGACGCCTTCTTTTATACGTTCCCTGTGGTTTGCTTTGCTCCAATTCACATATGTCAGGGACGTTCCTGTCATAGGACACATACACTTGCTATTATCTCTGCCCACAGTGCTCTTCCTCCCTTCCTTTTTTTTTCTAAGATTTTATTTATTTATGAGAGAGAGAGAGAGAGAGAAAACGAGAGAGCACAAACAGTGGAGAAGGTGAAGCAGACTCCCTGCTCCTTGAGGTGGGGCTCGATTCCAGGACCCTGAGATCATGGCCTGAGCCAAAGGCAGATACTTAACCACCGGAGCCACCCAGGCCCCCGCTCTTCCTCTCTTTTCTGCTTTTAGGGTTTTGCTCCACCTTCTCAATGAGGCTTCTCCAACCACACCTATTTCCATTGCAAACCCTTCCTCCACCACAGACATACTTGTGTTCTTCTTCATGTTGCTCCTTATCACTTATTTCCACCCGACACCATTTATCTGTCTATACCTAACCTACACTTTCCTATCTGACTTGCTCTGTGAAGACAAGAATTTTTGTCTCTTGCGTTCTCTGCTTGATTCCCCGCACCTTGAGCAGGTGCCTGACACATAACAGGTGCCAAGTTAATACATGTTGAATGAATGAATGAATAATGAAAATGTTACGTGCTTATACTCTGATGAGTTATGACACCTCACTCTGGTTACCTTTGCATTTTCAACGATCCATTCGCCTGTGTATCCACTCTGATCTCTGCTAGCTTATCAGGATCAGCTTTTGTCTCCCCAAAGTGTCTATCTACATGATTCAAAACACAGAAGTTGCCTATATGTGTATGTTAACTGAGTTTTGGTGGAAATTAAGACTCGAATGTGAAAGAGAACCAGCAGGTATGTCATTGTGTCCCCTTCTAAATACCCCATCAAAAAATTTCCCCCAAAAACTCATGTTCTGGTCTTGGAACAAAATGAGACTATTCATTATGTGTTGAGTGTGGTCCTGCTCTTGTAGTCTGTCTTCAGATTGAGAAAGTGAAGCTAATCAAATGAGAAATTTAATTAGAAACAACTTTTCTGACGTCCGAATCTGGAGGCTTGGAGCGAGCACAGATTAAAAGGAGACTCAGAGTCATTTTTGTATAGGACTCAGCCTTAGTTAAAGACACCCCCCCCCCTTAACCTTTAGGCAACACAGGCTAGATGTCTTGGTTGAAGAGTTTCCTGCAAGAGTCCAGAATTCTCTTCATTTCAGAAATCCTCAACGGTGCTATTGGGGAAATTCCCGGCTTTCGCTTCCCCACCGGTGAATGGGTCCAATGCCGAGAAAAGAAAGACCTTAAGTAGTGAAGGACCTGGGGTCTGGAAGAGATGTGCTCCATCTGCCGAGGCATTTTCTGCACACGGCTGGGCATTTTTTTGTTTTTTCCTAATTTTTTTTTAAACACTCGCCCAGCAAACTGCACAGTAAGTCATTCGTGCCAATAAAATGACAGTCTTCTTCAAGGCCGCAGATTACGAATATGAATTATCTGCTGGAAATTGGCTCTCTCTCTCTCTACATATATATAAATTGGATTTTCCAAAATTTCCCACTTGCCTAGGAAGCAAAATACAAAGCTGGATGAGGAAACGTGACTCAGCCCCCTCCATTTAGTATTTACTGCCAAATAACGGATTTCTCGGGAGAAAAGTCATATTTCCCAAACCACCACCAAAGTGAAAGGAATCTGATCCTCAGTGTTGGCCCCAGACTCTCCCTGAGGCTCTGGTGGAGTGCGGGGCAGTGACGAGAGGTGGTGTGAGCCCCAGAATGCTTTGCCTCCTCTTGTGGGACAACATTTTTTGACAGCTATGGACCATTCTCATTTCCACGGGACAGAGTCTGTTATGGTCAAAAGAATGTGACCCAAGCCTTGTAAAAGCAACAGCATGATGCTCTCTCCTTGAAAGCATGTTTTAATGGAAGTGAGTGGGCCGTGTTACAAATAATCACACTCGCATGATATTTTAGAAGCAACACGGACTTCTCTGAATGACAGCCCGGTTAAGTAGCAACACAATAGTCTGGGCTCCGGGAAGCCCAGTGTGAGCAAGGACTCCGAGCTACGCATTTCTACGACTGTCTTTGGGTGTAGGTTTTCATACCTGTGGAATCAGATGTCACTACTCAGTAGACACAAGTGTCAGAAGGATTGGCGCTTCCTAAATGCTCATGTTGGTTTCCTCCGCCCAGCCACCACTACTCTCCAGCACTTTCTGCTGGACTTTGAAGAATGTTGGTGTGATAATCGCAGGGAAGAACCTCTGCCTCTGGAAACCATATGTTACTGCACACTCACGGAGCTTCAACTCGGGTTCCACACCCAGAAAGAATTGTGTAACTCAGGGGGACTCTTCCCACCTCTTCCTTGATCACACTTGGGGTGAGAGACACGCATACCTGAAGGAACGTGTGATGCTTTGTGGAAGTCAGTCTTGAGCTTGGTACAGTGTGGCCTTAGGAACCATTCCGTCTCTCTCAGCAGTGGACAGCCTGCGGGTATGAGGGGAGAGGGGGACAGAGAATAGGTAGGAGAGAGGGAGACTATGTGACTTCAGTTTTGAGGGCGGCCCACTTTGGATCATGTTTACGGAGAGGCTTTGCTCCTGGGACCCCGCAGAACAGCGTGGAGGGGTTGTCCAAGGAATGAAGACGTTCCTAGGGCTGCCCTCTGGTCTCCCCTCCAAACCACCGTGTGTGTGTGTGTGTGTGTGTGTGTGTGTGTGTGTGTGTGTTCAAGGGAAGGAATCTGGGCTTATTCATGAGCGGCGCTATCTTTCCACAGGATATTCATTGTTTTGAAAATAGGAGAAAACCTCAGCCGCTCTGAAGCATATAATTATGCTTTCTTATTACCCAACAAGAATGTTCTCCGGAGTGTTGTTGTGATGATATACTTGCAAGTACTTGGCAGAGAGAAGGGGAGCCGAGGAGGAGGGTGGGAGGCCAGGGAGCCGAGCGGCTTGCCTTCCATTCGGCTTGTTCCGTCTTTCCTGTCTAACAGCTCTCACGGCTCTGTAGGCTTTTCCTCAAGTCAGCTAGGTGGATTTTTGGTGTGGGTTCCCAGGCTCCATTTGGTTATCAGTGTAATGAGTGATTTCAGAGTATTAGGGCAGATTCCACGATCACTGAATCATGTACAGATTCAAGGCCAGAAGATGACATCAGAAACATATGTGTTCGTCTGGAGGCAACACTTGGCCTGAGAAACAGAGCAAGATCTCCAGTGGGAGAATTAGACTTTCACTGGCCTAAAGAGGACCCCAGGAGGTGAGTTGCTTTATCTTTTGCCCCCAGGCAAGGAGTCACTTAAAAAAAATCCCCCTTAAATGGTTGACGTGCTGTTCTCGAATATTTCTGGGAGAGCTCTTTTAAAAAGCTAGGGCTTAAGTGCTTTACAAACAAGGCAAGGCTTCGCGTGTGAGGAATAAACTCTGTGTGCTATAACTCATAATTACCATGATTTTATAAACCTGGAATTTCCTAACCAAGCTCTTTATTTTCATTCAGAGCAGCATCCTGGGATATTTCTTCATTCATCATTATCTTGCCCACCTCATTGCCCATCCCTGTTTTTAAAAAAGGCATATTCCCAGAGTTGTGTTTTAGATAGGCGCATCACTACATGGGGTGTGGCGATTCCTCCAAATGCTTTTTATCAAGCCATGGGACAAATTTTTAAATCATTTTATCAGTTGACATCATATCTGAGCTTTATGCAAGCCCTGTGGTTTCCATAGTAACAAAATCACTTCACAGTATAAGAAACACGTGGAAGATTATAGGGGGACAAAAAAGAGGGAATCGAACGGAACAAAAGGCAGGAGCTAAATTCAGAATTTCTTGGGATACTGGTTTTATTGTTGTTTTATTTATTTCAAAAGACTAGTACAAATCCTCTTGATGCTACTACGTGCAAATGGTGTCCATGTTCTTGTCATCTTCCAGGGTGACAAGGTCATCTTACTCCAGGCTACGGTCTTACCGATGCCTACATTCCCCGTTGTGTGTGCTCCTGTGTATCTATGTATGTCTACGTGCGCACACACACGCGCACAACCCACGGAAGATCTGTGGTCTCTTCTCAAGAAACTGACTTCACCATTTTAGATTAGGGACCAGTAATAAGATATCTTTCCAAAGGACCTGCCTCATTTTCTCCCTGGGCACGCAGAAGCACCAAGACACTCCAAACTCTCTTGTGTTTGGATGAATAGTTGTGGTGACTTGACAGCACCGTTCGTTCACTCGCTCATTCGTTAGAGACGTATTTACTGAGCATCTCTTATGACAGACAGAGCCCTTGAACCAGACACGGAGCTACACGTTGGATACCTGTAAGTGCAATGTGGGTATGAGAGGTTGGGTGGGAACCTCCCTGGTCTCTCACCTGGTCTCCTCTGTGGCCAGTAGGTCACATTCCCCACGCACCCAGGTCTACCGGCAGCTCAGGTGGCAGCTTAGGCTCCACCTAATTGTTAGAGGAGTGGACTTGTGGGTCTTTCACTTATTAACTTCTCTGGATGAGGAGACTTGTGTTCTTGATCCTGTTTTTCCTACCATTCTGATGGGACGAATCCCATGGAATCCCAGCACTTTGGCCTCTGAGTGACGAGAACTAGGACAAGATCAGCTGGGAATTTTAAGGCAACATCTATGTTTGGGACGCATCATTAAGCAAATACTAGCTGTCCGAGGCAATGAATTTCTCCTCTTGGTTATGTCAGAAACTAGAACCAAAGGGAAGGCCTTTGCCCCAACTCTCCTCAGTGATAGGCATCAGGACCATTAATTCCAGAGCCCGAAGAAATGTCTTCCTTCTGGAAATATCTCCTTGGAGACTGACAGTCAGAGTAAATACTGACGCCCTCTTTCTGTGCCCGCCAAGCACCTGTTTGGACTGTTCTGGAGGCCTTTCTGAGGGAGGGCTCCCCTTGGGAGGGCGGGCTCATAGGCTTAGCTGGGAGGCCGCAGGCTGCAAGGTGGGCGTGCCCAAGAACACCTCACCGGCATTCGGGCCGTCTCTGGGAAGAAGCACTGGTAATTAGAAAGTTTGCCATCTTTCTCTTGGAGAAGGATTTCTGTCCCCTGGCAACAGAATAGCCCTAACAAGTGTGATCTGTCAGAGTGCGTGCCTGGAAGGGCATACGATGGTTAGGGACTTAACCCTGCTTTCAGGGTGAGCCTCGGCCCTCCCACCGGGGCACACCTCTTCTCCTGTGCATGCAAGCCTACCCCTTTGCCTCCTTCCGGACTTGGTTCTGGTGATTATTCACTCCTTCTGTCTTATATCTTCAATTGCTTTCTGTTCTTTGGCTTCTCCCTTTGATACATAAATAGATGCAAAACTCCCCAAACCTTTCAAGACAAAACACTCAAGCAAATGAAACCTCGTGGTCAGCCTTCTCTTTTTTTCAGCCTCTTACAGTCGAGCTCTTGTCCCACCTCTGCTGAAATTCTTGCTGGGGTTGCAGTCACCTCCCACCTGCCAGGTGCAGAGTCCTGTTTCTGTCCTCCCACTTGGTCCTCTGCAGCCCTGGAAGCTCTCAAACACCCACTCGTTTTTGATAAGCACTCCTCCGGCTCCTGTACCATTACTCCCTCTTGAATTTCCCCTGCGTCTCTATCTTCCACCGATTCTGTGCAGTATCTTCACCATTTCTCCTTCTCTGTCCAAGGTCAGAAATCAGCGTTTCCAGATAAGATCCTACCCTTGGTACTCATCTCTCTCAGCATATTTTCCATATGAAATGTTCTCCCACATAAAATTGCCATTCTTGTAGGTAAAATGTGATCAAATGTTAGTGATTTCATATGGTTCAACCCATAACAATTTCCATATCCCCATTCCTAGCCCCGATCTTTCTCCTAAGCTTAGACAAACATTTCCAAAGACCACCTGGACACTTCCAACTGGATTGTCCTAAGTCACGTCAAAATGAATACATCTCAATGGAACCCTTTCTCTGCCTCAAGTATTCTTTTTTTTTTTTTTTTGCCTCAAGTATTCTTAATCCTTTTTTTTTTTTTAAATAGGATCTACACCCAGCTGGATCCCAGTGCAGGCCTTGAACTCACAACCTTGAGATCAAGATCTGAGCTGACATCAAGGGTTGGATACTCAACGAGCCACCCAGAAGCTCCGGAAATTTCAGTAATTCTTGAAATCTTTCTCTTTTTTGTATTTCCGCAGCCAGTCAGTCACAAAGCCAGCGAATCTCATCTCATAAAGGTCCCCACTTCATTATCTTAGATCAGAGCATTACCATCGTTCACCTTGGGGATTGCAATGGTTTCATCTGTGCAATTCCAGCTTCTCTTTACCCTGCATTCCACTTTGTCCTTTATCGTACCACCAAAAATATTTGTCTAAAAAACAAAGCTGACCGTGTAATCCAAAATGCATCACCGTCTAGTTCCTGTACTCAGCTCCCGTGATTCTGTGCCTCCAACCCTTCACCACAGTCATTCTGATGGAATGAGTTGTTTCCTGAAACACCAGACTCTTTCACAACCCTGTGCTGTCTTCTGTCTGCATTGTTCTTCTCGTTCTCTAAGAAATTCTGAATCAGCCTCCAAGAGTCTGCTTAAAAACCTTCTCTTATGTCAAGCCTCCTCCAACTCTTCCCGCCAAGGTGGTCCTGTGATTTCCATTCGCTTTCCCCATTTTTCTATACTAGCACTTTTCAGGTCATCTGGTAGTTTGGTTTATCCATTTAACATTGCTCGTATCTAATAGATTAAAAACTCAGGTCATGTTTCTCTCATTTCTGTATTCAGAGTATGTCCATTTCTTCTTTTGTTTAAGTGCTTTGAGGGAGGCTCCCGTGGGGTTTCAGAGGAAGTTGTAGAGGAGAGAGGGTACAAATAATTCAACCTTTCAGTTAGCGTTCCTTGACAAATTAGAAAGACTCCCTTTTGACACAGGGTCCCTGTCTAATCTTGATGATCAGAAGGGATGGGAGCCCAAAGTTGTTAGATCACTGATCCTCAGGATGCCAGCTCTCAGCACTGCCCACTGAAATCCCAGAGTGGAACAGGAAAGAGGAGGAAAGAGGAGACCATGCCCAAGTCAGCAACTCAGAGTCAGTGTAAAGAATTAGATCTCTGGCCATCTTCTCTCGGATGTGGTGGGCTGCTATTCACACGGTGGACCTGCCCACTGCCCGGCCCTTGCCCAGCACACTGACTGCCATTCCCTGCCCCCTGCTCGAGGCAGCACCAAATTATTTGTATTTCTCTACATATAATGTGCTCCTAACACCCTCTTTGCTTTTGCTCATGGTGTTGTCTTTGCTAGAACGCCGCTTCAGACCCCCCATCCATTTTGATGAATGAATCCCCAATCAAGATAAATTCAGCCATCACCTCTCAATCCTCACCCATCTCTGACCCATCCATCTTCTTTACCAGGGTGGGTTGGATGCTGTTCTGCAATGGCATCCTCTACACTAGTGCCGGAGTTTCACGGCATAATGTTGCCCGGCTGAGGAAGTAAGTTCCGATTTCCAACCCAAGTTCACTGCCTTGCATGTGCCTTTAGAGCTGGAATTATTTCCTAATTCACACAAAGGCAGACTCAGAGTGCCCTGTGCGTATCCCCATCCCTGGCATGATCGACCACAGCGTACTATGGGTATCTATCCATCTATTTCCTCCACTGGAGCCCCTGGAGGGCCTGCTCCTGGACTTAGCACAGCGTTTGGCATTGAGTAACTGTTGAGTGAAATGTTTGCTGGATTCTAACAGTTATTAAGGACTAGACACTGTTCTAGGAACTTTCGAGGCCTCAAGTCATTGACTTCTCACAATAATCGTGAGGACAGGGACCACTTTACCCATTTACACAAGAGCGAAAACTGAAGCACCAAGCAATGAAGAGAGGTGCTTCCGTCACATGGCTGGTGTGTGCGCTTCAGCCAGGGCTGGCTGCCTTTGGGCTCCGTGTAACCCATCCTCTTAGCCACTGTACCACACCACCTCTTAACTGAAAACTTGTCAGTCCTCTACTTCCTTGTGTTTCTCCTTCAGGAAAAATACAAAAACAAGGACGCCTGGGTGGCTCCGCAGTTGAGCATCTGCCTCTGGCTCAGGGTGTGACCCTGGGGTCCTGGGATCGATTCCCACATCTGGCTCCTTGCAGGGAGCCTGCCTCTCCCTCTGCTGTGTCTCTGCCTCTCTGTGTGTGTCTCATGAATAAATAAGTAAAATATTAAAACAAAACAAAACAAAACAAAAAAACCCCAAACAGTCCTTTGTGCCGTATCTGGGAAACCTACTCCCAATCTGGATACTTGCCTAGACATGTAGGTGTCTCCTTTACGCGGTGTAACGTCCTCTGCCCTGAAACCTAGTTTCTAGTGGAATGGGTTCCCAGCTTCCTTCTCTAGAACACGCCAGAAAGATTCCCTAAGAGAAGGTGAGCCAAGGGCCAGGCCTTCTAGGCCAAGGGGTGTGGGTCGGGGGGTGGTTTGCGGAGGAGGCAAGGCAGGTATTGTGGAAGCAAGAGAGGAAAGAAAGGGGTTGGTTGCAAGCCGAGTGACGGGGCACAAAGGACGGAGGCTAAAATCATTCACACGGTCACCAAGAACAATTAAATGTGAAAAGGGAGGTGCGGACTGAGAGTGCTCTGAGAACAGAGAGAAGCTTCTGGAAAGCTTGTGGTCCAACATTCCTGGGAGAAAACTTCCAGGTCAGGCCCAGATTCTTGACCGTGTCTCAGGTCCTAGATGCCGTCAGATGGGCGCCGGGCCATTCCTTCGTGTCCTCCGCCCTCCTGGGCCGACAGCCCTGACAGCCATGGATGAGGGGGAGGCCTCCGGGGAGCGAGGCCGCGGCCGGGGAGGCCAGGCCGGGGCCTGGGCAGCTGGAGCCGGGGACTGATCTCTTGCTCTCCCACGGACTCAGCCTTGGCCTGCAGGTCGCAGCCTCCGGTGCCCCGGTTCCCCCCACCTTGACGCAGCGATAAGGACCCTCGCTTCTCTGTCTGGGGTGTTAATTAAAGTGCGGGCACTGCGTGGCAATGCCGGGATGAAAGGGCTTGCCAGCCCGGGATCATCGTGACGCATGACTCATGTCACCTGCAGGGCAAACTCGCCATCTGTGCTGCGTGTGGGGAGCCACGTCGATCCCCAGCCACAGTCACGGGGGAAATGTGGATTTGCAAGTGGGACGTGTGTTCAGAGGCTGGCACTTCATCCGGCGGCGGTGGACAGGGAAGAGGGCTGATTCTCGACTGTCACCTCTTTCAAGTTTTCCCTAGAGACTGCTGCTTCCCCCGCACCCCTTGGAGGCTGCTGGCCGCTTCCCGGGCCGCCCCCCAGGCCTGTGGCCTACCCCCCCTGCCGCCGGCCCTGCACCGCCCTGGGGCCATGGGCCACGCAGCCAGCGCCGCCTGCTCCCCTGTCGCGCCTGGGCTGCCCCAGAGCCCCGAGCGCCTTCTGCTGAACTGCCCCGCCGATGTCGTGTGCAAGGCTCGTGTTCTGGACGTGAAAATCCAAGGGTCTTGGACAAACCAGAATCGCTTTCGACCACAGAGGAACATGCCGCAGATGTCACATTGCACGGTGACACGCACAATGGATAGGTGCGTCCCCTGTGGGCCTCGATGTAGGAAGAGGTTAAATCAGTAAGGAAAAAGGTCAAGACGGGGATGTCCCAAGAAGCTTTAGATGCACCTAAGTTCATCACGTTAGGCCACAATGAGGCCATCAGAGCAGGGAGTTCGTGTCTTCATTCAAGAGCTGCGTCGATTTATTGAGCACCTTCTGTGTGCCAAGCGCTGTCCTGGGCGCCGGGATATCCAGCGGAGCACAAACCACACAAATATCTGTATCCTACGTGGGTATCGATCTGGCGGAGAGGGGCCCACAATGGAGGGACGTGCTTACGGCATCCCCGCTTGAACGATTATTCCTGTTTCGGGCTGCCCTGTCTCTGCAGGATTAGGACCTTGATCCAATCCCAACCCCACTGCAGCCTTCCCTATAAATTAGCAAGAATGAAAATGTCTGAAATGAGGGGCGGTGGTTGTTCTTGCCTTTAACTTAGAAGCAGGGGTGATATTCAAACAATTTAACAACGAGTAGAGCACGGGTGCCGACCCACCCCGGTGGATACCGTGGTCCCTGCTGGGCCGGCATCCAGCCTTTACTTTCTGGGCCAAGATCCAGAGGACTCAGAGCAGGAGCCAGCGGAGATGGTGGGAGACTTCAGAGTGGGGATGTCTGGGGTTTTGTCTATTCACCAAGTTGTGTGGAAGGATCCCAGTACTCCAGCCCCAGGATGACTGTATCAGACTGCGCCAGGTAAGGATCAATCCTGCTCTTGAAAGAATCTAGAAAAAGGATATGCTCAGGTGAGGCCTCAGTCAATATCCAACAGCCAAAGGAGGAAACACTGTTAATTTTAAAAATTCGAATCTTGGTCGGGACTGACTCTCCACAACCTTATAAGATGACTGAAAACAAGGCGGCCTTGAACATACATCGTCATGAGTGGCAGCCGGGTGATGCAGAGCTGCCCCGGACACCCAGCCCCAGTGAAAATGAGCAGTTTTTACTGAAAAGAATGCAACAGCCCTGGGACATGCTCTGACGTGGTGATGGTTGCTTCTGGATCTACCCTTGCCTGGTCAGTGCTGGGTTTACAGTCAGAGCTGGCCGAGGAGGAAGCCACACCCTTGGCAGGTAGACTGGAAACACCGTTGGCAAGAAGCATCTGCCAAGCGATCCTAGTTGTGGTTGCTGGGGTGCCAGCATATTACTGGTCCTTCAGGTTCCTAGCTTGTCATCATGGCTGGCAACACCTCCTGGCTTTTATTGAAGGCCTAATTGGAGAGCGTCTGGTGCCCAAAGGGCTTTTCTCGTTGACAACCAGTGGTGGAGGAGGGATATTGAATTGAGGTGAGCCATTCCTTGTGCATTCTTTTCTACCTCACAGGTGGAGCCTGGAAAAAATATCTCCTCTGTGGAATGCACAATAACTCCAAGACGGCTAGAGTGAGTAGAGGCTGCCCGAGAGAGTTACCCACCCACCCAAAAAGGAACGTAGCCTAATCTCATCAAATTTGCTGAAAACTGTTTGTGTGGTGAAAGAAGGATGTCAGTTACTCATACCCCTTTCCAGGGCAGTGTCCCGTCGATGGCCCCTGTTGGGAACCCACTTCTGTACCAGACGGTGGCAAGAGGACACCGGGGAAGTTAATTCATGGACTTGCCACAATACTGTGACGTGGCACGCCCACAGAGAACTGGGCCAATCTGGTTTTGCCTCTTGTGAATGTGAACCAGGGACTTGTTGAGAGTCTGGGATGGGAATAAGTAGGTGCCACGGCTGACAGTCACTGGGTGGAGTCAGAGTAGGGGTGCTTGGGGCCTTCTCGGCTGTGCAGGTCAGATGGTGGGGGAGGCCGTGGGGGAAGAAAGCAGGCAGCATTGTGGTTAAGTGCTCCATTGCTTCATTGGGCCATTGTTAATGAGTACCTACCCTACATCAGGTGCTCTTGCGGGTGCTGGTGGACAAAGTAGGAAAAATCCCAGCCCTCATGGAGCTGGCATCCTGGTGGGGAGGCATGAAATCACCAAGAAAAATAAGAAATGTGTATTAGATAGTGATTAATGCTGGGAGGTTTAGCAATAACGCAGGAAAAAAAAAAGGAAGGGGAACAGAGGACACAAGATCAGTGAAATGTTAACATCTGATCAATGATGACTAGAAGGAGGTTCATTGTACCATTTTGGGTATGTTCAAAATTCTTTAAAGAATTTTAAGGGGCACCTGGGTGGCTCAGTGGTTGAGCATCTGTCTTCGGCTTGGGTCGTGATCCTGAGGGTTCTGGGATCAAGTCCCAAATCGGGCTCCCTGCATGGAGCCTGCTTCTCTCTCTGCCTGTGTCACTGCCTCTCTCTCTCTCTCTCTGTCTGTCATGAATAAATAAATCTTTTTAAAAAAGAATTTTAAAAAGATTTTAAAATTTTAAAAAGAATCCAGGGAAGTTGACTTGGAAGTGTTGGGGTGAGGTGGCCTTACAGTTTGAGACAGAGGGATGACTTCACTGGGAAGGCATCTGAGCAAAGACCTAACAGGAGTGATAAAAGCATCGCTGGGGATGAGCACTCCAGGCAGAGGGAACAGCAAGTGCAATACCCCTGAGACAGGGGTGTTCCTGCAGTGTTAAAGGAGCACAGGGTAGAGAGCATGGCCAGCATGGCCACACTGCTGGGACTGGGGGAGCGGGGGTGCACATCACATAGGATCTCTGGGTCATGTAAGAATCCAGTCTTTTACTAGGAGCGAGATGGGGAGCCACTGGAGAATTTGGGGCAGAGCAGTGACATGAGTAGACACAAGTTTTGGCAGATCTTGGAGCTTTTGGACTGAAGATCTCTGAATTTCTACCTCTGGGTTTAGACTGAGCATCCTCGAAGCCAGGACCACCCCGTAGTGTTTTCAAGACCTAGCTCAGCTATACTTTCTGTGCGTGGATGTCCTTGGAAGTCGAATGTCTTCTTCAATTCCTGTGTGTTCCTCTACTCGGTCTTGTTTATCTGACTTGGCTTCAGTGGGTCTCTATTTCTCAAACCGAAACAAATCTCAGGGACAGCCACTTTTTCTCATTGTACAGCTGCCACTCTTGGAGGGCAGGCAACCATGCTGCAAGAGCTGTTCCTCACACCCCAGCCTAGGAGGTGAGAGGCCAACAGCACAGCTGTGGAGGTGAGGGGACACCACCACCGCTCAGAAGATGAGGGGTCCGTACCATAGTTCGGGAAGTGAGAGAACACCACCACAGCCCAGGAGGTGAGGAGACAGCATCACAGCTCCCGAGGTGAGGGGGCAACACCACAGCCCAGGAGGTGAGGAGACAGTATCACAGCTCAGGAGGTGAGGAGACAACACCATAGCCCAGGAGGGTGAGAGGACAATACCATAAATTCTGTTCGAGGTGACACTCGCGTCACTGACTTCATAAGCCCTCGGGCAGTCTAAATTTCTGTGATATTTTTACTTGGAAACTTTAAAACAAAAAGTACATGTAAACCAAATATTGATACAATTGCTCATTTTTAAATCTCATGTTATCAGAAATAATAAAATCCAAAAGCATTCCCTATGCTCCTCAGGTGCTACCGAGAAGTTAAGAGGTAGAACCAACCAACTAAAGTTGACCGTTGAAGACAAGAGCTTTTAATGATGATTTCAGTTGCTTTGATGGTTCCATCGGGTGCCGTTCCTTAGGGTCTTATTTTACGTGGCATTTTTCATGCCCATAGTGTTGAAGAACTACAAA